ACAGTAGAGGTCCTTTCACCTTCCCCATCCATGAAGGCTGAGATAAACTGCTTCTTGATGTTACAAGGACAGACTGCTCATCACCATATAGGCAAACACCACAGTTTTTAAGTAAACACAATGTTCATCTTAACTAGCTAGGCACCCATAGAAGCAGCATAGGCAAACTGCTAAGACCTGAAGCCTCGAACACAACTGGGATTAACTGCTTTGCAAATGAGCAACAGTTGACTGCTATCTCTTACCTATACATTATTTTATAAGCTAGTTTTTTGTTTGTTTGTTTTTGAGACAGGCTTTCTCTGTATAACAGAACTCACCTTGTAGACCAGGCTGGCCTGGAACTCCCAGAGATCTGCCTTCCTTTGCCTCCCAGGTGCTGTGATTAAAGGTGTGTGCCATCACCGTCTGACTAAACTAGTTTGTTTTTAAGAATACTGATTTGGCCTAAGGAGGAGTCTCACCCCCACCCACGACACATGGAAACAATGGTGGAGACCCAGTTCCCAGAAGGCAGCTCAATATTACACCTCTCCTTCTGAGCCTCTGTAGATCAAGATGGCCTTGAACTCACAGCAATCTTCCAGTCTCCGACTCCCAAGTACTGGCATTAGACAAACTTTTATTTTTCCCCTCAACACACCTAGTGATTTTGATGGTGAGGAAGCTAAATATTTCATTTTTGCTTTTTAAATAATTTTCAGTTTAAGTTGACAGTTAACTTTAAAACTGTTTACTAAGACAATTATGTACTTTAAAAAAGTGAGTAAACTTGATTGTCTCTTAGAAAGTACTTCATCTGACTAATTGCTTAAAGCAGGTTTAATTTTTCTCATGCAGCTATGTTCACCAAGCACACGGTATACAGCTTTCAATAAATACACAGAGGTAACAGATAAGAACAATGTTTAGAAATAGGGAAATTAAGAATACATAGAACCTTTCTGACTAGTGGTTCAAGTCAGGTCTACAGCGAAGTTACCTGTACTGTCTAGAGGTAGAGCACCAGATTATAAATCTGGTAACAGAAAACTAGCAGGTAAGATGAGGGAAGTCACAATATGCATTACTCTTACAGCCAGGCCAATGAAATGACAAATGATTCCCTCTCTCCTTTCCTCATGTCAAGACAGAACAGTCATGCCACCCCTGTATGTGACTTAGAAGAAAGCCATGAACACAGAGAGCAGAGTTACGAGCTGAGGACAATGTCAGAGAGAACAGAGTAGTTCTGCATCCACAACCCATGGCTGGGATCAACTGCCTATGGGAACTTTAGCATCATCAAATACCTAGCTGAGAATGAGAGTGGAGTCCATTACTGAAAAATTAAAGAGTCATCTATGGTGTCAGAGATGGGGCTGGTAAAGTATAATCAGCACAACCTAAGCTGTCCTGTTGAGAACCAAGAAGCCAGATGTGGTGATCTGAACAGGAATGGTTTCCATAGTCTTCTGTTTAAATGCTTAGCTCATAGGCAGTGGCACTATTAGGAGGAATGGAAGTGTGTCACCGTGGGGGCAGGCTTTGAAGTCTCATATATTCAAGTCAAGCCCAGTGTGGTACAAAGTTGTCCTGCTGCCTGTGCATCATGATGTAGAACTCTCAGCTCCCTCTGCAGCACCATGTCCTCCTGCCCACTGCCATACTTTCTACATGACGATAATGACTAGGCCTCTGTACTGTAAGCCAGCCCCAATTAAATGTTTTCCCTTATAAGAGCTTGCCATGGTCATGGTGTCTCCTCACAGTAATAGACCCTAACCAAGACACCAGACTAGAATGGTCCAAGATAATCTGATGTACCTGGTCTTAATAAAGATGAATAAAGACCATGAAGTTCATTAGATCACAAGGAGAGTGGTTGGCAAGGCAGGAATGGAGCCCTGGCTCCCTGCACACTCCTCACCAGCCATGCTTTTTCTGTGCTACCTCTAATGGTGCCATTCATGAAATACACCCCACAAACAGCAGTACTGTGTATCATTAGGGTTTTGTTTTAAGAATCAATGTACAGAGAGCAACTTTTTGACTTTTTATAAATGCCATTTAAAACGCACATGTGGGGCTGGAGAGATGCTCTTGGCTGGAGAGAGGGCTCAGCAGTTAAGAGCGTTTGCTGCTCTTCCAGAGGACTCGGGTTCAATTCCCAGCACCCACATGACAGTTCACAACTGTCTGTAACTCTAGTTCCAGGAGATCTAACATCCTCACAAAGACATATATGCAGGCAAAATACTAATGCACATGAGATAAAAATAAATTAAATAAAAACATGTGAGCATGTGTACACAGACACACACACACATACACACATATCACCACCATATTTAGAAAAACTGAAAGGAAAAAGCAACATTAATACATGGCACAATAATAAACACTTGCTACCTACTTTCCCTAAGCTCTGAACAATAGCTCTCTCAGACCCATGATACATTGCTAAGTAAGAGAAATAAAATGCACCTGCCACATATGCAAATGTGTTCAGTGTTTCCTTGTGAAGGGAGATCAGAGTCAAACAGGAAGTCAAGAAGGCCTTAAGTGGTTTTCCTTACTACAGTGGTGAGGCTCCCAGGTCAGAGGCCAGGAAACAATGCTCACCAACCTTTCTCCCAAAGACTCACTTTAGTTCCAAGAAGTCCTTCTAGGGCTGTTCCTACAGAAACCCGTTCTGGCCGAAGAACCCTCTGCAGGCAGGGTGCCAGGGAGGAGACCCAGCAATGCAGCGGAGAGAAAAGTTCTCTTGCCTGCTTCTCTAAGTAAGTCGCTTCTTGTTAGTTTCAAAATTCAACATGCAGATAACATGAAATTGAGCTATCATTTAGATTATGATAAAAAGCTGTTGAGGACACATGCTGACTCCTACTTAGAAAGACACCCTGCTCAGAAAAAAACAGAGGCTCTTATATGTAATTGGATTTGACCTCAGGCAAGTCAGGGGCCCCCGATGGATACTTCTGAGGGAAAAGGGATGTCAGGAAGGCAGTGATGGAAAATGGAAACCTGATTAAGTTCCCAAAGACACCATAAAAATCATGTGCTTCAATGCCATCTTGGAGTGTAGGGCTGCAGATCAGACAGTCAAGGTCACTTTAATGACTGGGAAGAGAGCATGGCATTCGGATAATACTCAAGTCTAGCCTCTCAGTGGTCTGAAGACAGTCAGAGGCAGCACACTGGCTGGTTAGCAATTATGGGCTCTCAGCCCCCTACTAGACCAGAATGTACTAAAATGATTTTAGCCAGTTCTGTGGGTGACTCTAAGCACACGAAAACCTGAGTTTGAGGTGCTGTTGCCACGTCCAGATGCACAGGCAGAAGGCATTCTGAAGCAGGCTGCCCTTTACTGGTACCCCAGGCTAAGTACAGGGTATGCCAGGAGAAAGAAACACTTTCTGTAACTCATCAATATTGGCCAGGCAGCCTCAGCCAGGCACTTCCTTGTGAGATTAAAATAATGGAGAAAAACAGAAAAAGCTACACATGGTAAGAGATATATTATGTATCTGGGTAACATCAAAACCCAAGCCAGACTAAATGATTAAGTGAGCCTGTGTGATTATATTTCTATAATTGTAATCATGAAAAGCTGGGCACCAGTATTGATTTATTGACTGACAACTTCTTAATGATTTTTCTTTTAAAAACCTCATTTCAGCTTTAATTTTCAGAAAAGAGTATTTCTCAGGACATAGGTAAGTTTCTAGAATGTAGTAGTCAAACAGGAAAATATAATACATTATGGGGGTATAAATTTTGATTCTACCTTTTGTCATCTTAGATTCCTTACTAGTAATTAGTAATTTTTTCTTATAGGGATACCACACTGAAGAGTAAGGGGTTGTCCCTCATCTCTTGCCCAACCCCCAATCTCCTTTCATGTTTCCTCTCTGTCAGTGGGTGGGGAGAGTGCTTTTTTTATAAATAATTTGCTTATTTTATGTGCATTGATATAAAGGTGTCATATCCCCTAGAACTGAAGTTACAGACAGTTAAAAGCTGCCACATAGGTGTTGGGAATTGAACCCAGGTCCTCTAGAAGAACAGTCAGTGCTCTTAACCACTGTGCCATCTCTCGAGCCCCAGGAATCCTCCAGGATTCAGAATATACAAATCCATTAGGTGCCTTGGAAAAAAACTGGAGGAACTGAGAACATGGCAAGTTCAGGAAGGGCTTGGACCTTCCCCTGCCCTACCTTCCTGAAGACCCCTCCAGTCCATGCTGGAGGGAAGAGCATCCTTACCTCTAAGGATGGAGAGGTACCAAGAGGAACCAACAGGCTGTGGTAAGCGTCCCTCAGTTTATTACTCTTGGCCCACATCCTTCCCCCTATCATATCTGCCCATGACTTTCCAGGCTTCATCATCAGAACACCCAGGTTTACAACCTTCTCCCAGTCTTCATTTCCCCATGAAGGCTCCCGCGTCTTACTCATTTTATATCAATTTGCATACCTTCCTCCTGTTAATTTGTCTTTGCCTATTTAATTTTCAGATCTGGCCTGGGACCCTAAGAGGGCAGAGGAAAACTTCTTCCCTTCAACTTGCAAATGAAAAGGCTGTCACTCAGGAGCAAAGGCAACAGCAGCATTAGGGAAAGGGCAAGAACTACACTCTGCCTTCAATCGCCCTGAACCAACAACTCAGGTACTACACTGTTCACATTTCCTTAGGCCCATAATACCAAACTCCATTTCCACAGAGAGAGCTGCTGGTACCAAGCACAACAGAGAAGCTGACCACAATGACCAGAGGTCAGACAAGCAAAGAACACACACAGGTTACTGGCCTGTGCTCTGAGGAGCAGAGTGCTTCCAGAAGCTCATGTTGACCCAACTGCTCTCAGAAAGTTCCTGAAGGTTTGAGCCTAAGTCCTTCACTTGTCAGCCTGACCAGTTTTGAACAGAGTGATCATACAGAGGCAAGAGAGTGAATCTCATTGTGGTGACAAGTGTGAAATGTGAATGGACGAATCATGAACTCGTCTCTGCCGTCACCTGATATAACTGCGATTTTCCCCGATCCATGCTCTTCCAGAGCTATTCTTTCTGCTTCCTCCATCAGCAGCATGCCGAACCCCTAGGAGGAGCATAAAGGAGTTCATGGATTAATAAGGGAAGCAAGCCCACTAAGAATTGGCCACAAAACACAGTAGTTGGCAAATGTCTTAAAAAGACCAATAAAAATCTACTGATGAGTAAGGAAAAGGAAACCACTGGACCTGCCCAGAGCACACTATGCGACTTAATGAAAGGCAGCATTGCGACAAGAGCCAGCTACGGCATTCTGGGTGATGGGGTTGGGTCTTTCCCTTTAGGTAAGGTCTAGGCAACCCCAGCTGACTGGAGGCTGGAGTAACAGTTCTTATTTAATCGAGCCATCTTCACTTTTTAAATGTGGCAAAATTCTTTCCTACTATCACTGTTTTAATATACTTTCCTGAAACTAAAGACACAGATTTCTAAGTTTAGGTTGCTGGGGGTTAGAACAGGGCTTCATACATATCACACAACGTACAGCTGTGAAGCCCAGTCTCGCCATTACCTCATTTGATTCTGCAGGAAGTGAAACAGTTTTAATTAGACATACTAGGTGCATCTGTTGTCCTCTGACACCCATGGAACCACAAGGGAGCAACATGGAGATGAAATGCCCCTTAACAACGGAAATAAACCCTTGTTCCTATGTTCTTTCCCATACTATCTCTTCCTTTCCTCCCCACTCACTGCTTTTATCTTCTCCTATTTCAGGCAATTTTTCAACTATAAACCGATAAGAAGCAGGACGCAGAGTACCTGATGCTGAAATTTAGAGGGATCCCGGCTGCTCACGGGGACTACACTTCCATACACATGTAGCTCTCGGACTATGGAAACGCCTCCACCCAATTCAAATCGGAAGGTCTCCTCAGAGCACTTCCGTAGCCTCAGAAGGCCAATCAGAATGTCCTGATCAGGATCTTCATAGGACAGGAAGGTTTCCCAGCCGCCATTGGCAACATAATCTCTCCGTACCAACTCAATCTGTTGGAGAAAAAGTCACGAAAAACCGCATTCAGAATTAGAGACCAAGCTCATTTTTATAATTGCATAGATGTGTTTAGGCTAATGTTCAGCTAGGAACAAAGAATGAATCAACACTAATTATGGTTTTTATTTGCCTCCTCTCAAGTAGCACAAGATTAAACAAGAGTTCATGCCTTGTTCATGGACTATTATAAACGGAGAACAATTTTACAAATATTTGAACTTAATTAACCTTGAGATTCTTACAGATATCCAGCTCAGTGACTGCTTCTATGTAAATTTATGATGTCCTATGAATTGTCTTTAAGATAAAATTACAGATTAAATCACATGTGTGGCTTTTAGAATGCCTTTCATCTCCTGTTTTGTCAGATATTCAATGGTTTCCTTGTCTAGTCCTTACTTCTTCCACTAAAACCTACTTTGTACATATGTTCATGCGTTGTTTGTGTGTGTGTGTGTGTGATCCTTGTATCTTGTTTCTCAATAGAATTTAAGAAAAGTATTAATATTGCACAGGGTTTGTGAAATATGCCTAGTGAAGGGATGAGAAGGTTAAAAGTCCAGTTGCTAGAGTGAAGTTTCTCAAAGAGGGATGGATGATAAAAGGATGGGGGACTTCAGTGATAGGAATTGATTCTGACTCTTCAACCCACTGCACAGATGCTTCTATGAACACTATGGGGCAAGAGGTGTACATTCAGAATTCTACATACACACCCTATAAATGGGGGGAACATACTCAAAGCAAAAGAAATAACACTCAGATTAAGTTTGGTATATAATTAGATTAAGAATTTGCCAAAATGATCAGCTGTGTCGGGTCTAGTTTTTCCCCTCAAAAGGCCCTTTAATGTCAAACAGAGTTCATGCTAAGAACAGAAACACTGATGCAGAGATCATCTATTCCAGCCTTTCTCACAATTCTTGGGGTTACCAAGAATTGCGCCCCATAGAAAATGTTGCACCAAGTTACACATTTTAGATGCATGAAAGAAAAGTTACCCGAAAGCCTCAATCAGGGCATTGGGAAACCAGTTAGCTGAATTGTCATCTGCTCACTGAGTCATTACCAAAAGACAAGAACTTGACGGTCACATAGAGGCTATCAGCAACACTCTCCACAAAAGGCAGCCCCTAGTCATAGGCAGCTACTCACACTTGAATGCATTCAAATCAAATGGTTGGAACTCTGAGTTCCTTGTTGTGCCCTTCAGAGTCCTTGCAGAGACTAGTGGCAGTGTAGAGCAACTTCACCACAGAAGACTTTCCACACTGCAGTGCTGATGAAAAACAAGGCAAGCCTTGAATTCCCAAACCTGGTTCTTCCATAACTCAGTGACTCTCATGCCTGGCTTTCCTGACTTGCTACTCTCTGTTCTGCTGAGTTATTCACTGATTTCTAGGGTTTGCTATGTGAGCGGGTGGGGTTCAAGCTTGGGACGGATTTAAAGGAGACTAACCTGGTATGGCCGGACTTTGTGATGAATTTCTTGGATTCCAACCTCCCTGGTTCTCACATCTCGGCACTGCCAAAAAAAAAAAAAAAAAAAAAAAAATCAAAAATAGTGACTCACTCACTCAATGTTCATTTAAAATAAAGCCTGAGCTCAAAATCAAGTCTGAACATGATTTATACTGCAACAAAAGAATGAAAACTTAGAAAAGCCATCTTCACTAAACTTGAGGATAGGACTTCGTAAAGGGACAGTTTTCCTTTTAAAATGAAGTCAGACTTCAAAGAGACCATATATAATATTGGGGAATAAAGAAGAATAAGTTAGAAAATAGTTTTGCCCAAGAGATTTAACTGCTTAAAACACAACCCAAAAATATGAATGAAAATACAGTCACAAAATATGATCACAGAAGAGCAAAAACAAATTCATAAATTTTTAAAACTTTCACTGTGTATGAAATTAATATGTTCAATATCATATTATTTTAGATATGTTAAAAGGTGCATATTGAAGGTATGTCTCCCTTTCGAAGAAAGGCATTGTGGGAGAATGAACTGAAAGGAGAAGGGAGGGGAAGATGGAGAAGGAACCTAGAGTCATATGTGATGTAAGTTGAACCTCAACTACAGATGCTCTTGGACATGCCCTGTTGGTAGCTTCTGGGAGACAATGTCAATGCAACGCCTTGTCTGCATGGCCAGGATCCGTAACAACCCTTACTCCTACTCCTCAACCCAGTGCGCATCCTATACAGCCTGACACATCATTACAAAATCCTTGCATTCATTATCCAGTGATATGTCCTATGGCATATTCTTCCCCTACAGAATAAAACATAAATGTATTTTCAGGATTCTAATACTTCCTACCAGGGAGACAGGATCATGCTAGAAAATCTGACAATATCATGCAAGCAATTTTACTAACAATGCATGTATAAGAGCTCAGTATTCAGTTTTGCAAAAACAAAGATATTTTAATGCTTTGGGAAACCCATCCAGGATACTCTGCTGATGTGGCCATCAGATCCTGTAGCTTATCTACTAAGAGCAGATTCTTGCTTCCAGGCCAGCTCTATACAGGAGACTATGTGTGGCTGAGTTACCTGCCAGTCAACAGGTACCTACTGCTTCTACTTCTTGTTCTTTCCTGGGGCATGGTTTTGTTTGTTTTTTTTAATAAGGCAGAGATGATATGTACTTTCTGGTAAGAACATTGCCTATGGGACTTGGGTCTTTGGATTCAATCCTGGACCACATAGCAGAGGTTAGCTAGCAAGGATCAGGTGGGACAGGGTTAAAGAAGAACAACAGATAGGGAAACTGCCAGTAGACAGGACTGCAGGTTCCCTAGAGTGGGTTCTTAGGAGGCCAGAGATGGAGACTGAGGACAGCTAGAGAGTGGGGAGCAGAACAGACACACACACAATCCTGTATGGAGCTGCTAATCTTCCTACATGTAGTTGCTTATTTCTAAAACTGAAAAGTTGTCTATTACATTTAATTAAGTGCTATATTATTTTTTGGTGTTGAATAAACCAATGACATTAAAAAAATCCTCTTTTGGACCATGTTTCAGATTTTTTTCCTTCATGATAAGTGGAGTTAAGTGTAAAATAAGTCATGGACAAGTCCACAAATGTGTGCTGTGCTGGCCTTGGAACTATCTCTCTGAAAGCATGGTCCATGCTTGAACACACACAGTCAACAGATCCCCTCAACCTCTGCCAACCAGTGGCATTTCAAAGGTAGAGCCTAACCCCTGTTACCCTGGCCAGGCACCACTCCTGGCTTATCTTTTCAGAAGCCCTAAGAAGTTTCTAGGCTGCTTCATTTCGAACTCACTACTACCTCTAGAGACTGTCAAATTAACAGCATCCTTCATTCTGTTAGGGTCAAGAGAGAGAAGCTGCTTCGTAAATAGAAAGCCAACAGGTCACAGAAGTCAGAGGAGGACACAGGGACAGCAGCAGCCTTTGTCACCACCCACTTCAGCTTCTACATGCTACACAGAACACCTCTAACATATGTAAGCTTTCTGACCCAACTGGTCCCAGCAATGCCCAAGAGTGAGAGCCCTGGGGACACGTGTGATCAGATTTCTTTTTTCCGTACAGTATACCTGGCAGCCACATTTACTCATACCTGTATTCCAAGGTCTTTCATTCGCGCGAATGCCAGCTCTCGCAGGTTGCCATGCTCTACCCCTGAGCTGACAAGGGGCATCGGGATGTCTCTGTAGGGGAAGAAAAATCAGTTGTAGAAAATGTAAGCCATTCTCCACAGCAGTATGGCAGGGAGATTTAAAAACCAAACAAACTGAAAAACAATGAAAAGTCACAAAGCCATGGAGCAGAAAGCAGAAGCAGAATATCCTAAGGGGAGAGGGAGCAAGGTTGAGAGTACCCCTACACCCCAGTTTCCCCATTTCCAAAGCTGATTCCACCCACCTCTCCTCTCAGGGGGTTTGTGAAACCATCTAATGGAAATCACATTAGAGAACAAAACATAGTATCTGCCCAAATGCCTGGGAGCTCTTAGGAAGGATTTGGGGTTCATGTGACAACTGTACTAAATGAAACAAGAATTAAAAGAAATAAACCTCAACTTAAAGAAGAGAAGTAACAATTTTGATTCATACACCACTTTGTAAAGACTTTCCCTCCCACATAGTAGCAGAAAGTCGCCAAGAAGGTCAAAAGCCTGGTTTCGCTATAACTGCTCTCACAGATCCTACCCCGTCCCCCAAATCTAAACCGGAAGAGACTCTGCTTTAGGGAATAACATCTTGCCTAAGGATGAGGAAATGAGATTTATCTTCTACACTGGTAATGCAGAGTGCCAGACATCAAGGAGACACCAATCAGAAGCTAGATTTAGGGGTTATATTGTACTAGCTCCTGAAAGTGGATCAAAGAGCACAAAGAACCATTTCACAGATCTATCAGGCTCTAGAATCCAGAGGGCTCCATTAAGATAACTATGAAGAGAAACACACCAGGAGGCCAAAGTGAGAGTGGCCTAAGAAATTTATGTTTTTGACTAACTAGCTAGCATACATCATTTATGTAGTTTTTAGCAAAATGATTCTTAATTTTAGAATTTTTAGTCTCTTAAATTCAATATATGTTTCAAAGTTGGTAATCAGATATAATCACAAATCACACAAAGGTTATGAGTAAAAATTACTTAGCAAGGAATACATACATTGCTTAAAATCTTTCTGCTTATATTACATAAGCCAAATATAAAATCAAAGTGCCCCCTTTTAACATGGAGATATTTTATAATAATTTGTAAGTGTGTGGAATATATAACTATCATCATATGAACATACTAAATATTTTAAAACTTAAAATACACTTCCAAACACTTGTTTACATGGTCTGAAATTAACCCGAGATGATCAGCAGAGGTCATGCTAATAATAACTGACAAATACCTTTTGTGTCTTATTATTCATGGTAGTTATGTCCTATAAGGTTGCTATGAACAATGAACTAAACAAAACTAGAGTAACTGCTCCTAGGATATGCAGGGCTAGGGCTAATTCAAACCATTAGAGCATAACCTTGCTTTGTATGTGTTTGTGTTAAAATAACCATGATGCATTTCATTTATCAGGAGGTTGCTGCATAATTTGTGGAACCCAGTAAAAGTGAGAACATGTAGTTTCTTATTATAAAATTATTAACAATTTCAAGATGGTGATAGATAGCAAGCCAGGTGCTATGCCCATTAGACCACATAGGCAGCAAGCTCTTGTAGATGCTGATTACCAGAGAGGTAACACAGGGCCTTACAAGAATGCCACCAGTTCATAAAGTCCTGAATTTATGTTTGTCACTATAAAAATGAAACACAGCTTTAATGGCCTTTGGTAGGGACACGCCTAGAGCAGAGCAGATGGAAGCTCTCAGTCATTAAGGAACAGAAATGTGGCAAATGCAACTCTCAACAATAGCATTCTTCACTGGAACTGAGGGACACAATTCTGCACTGGGCAAGCATCTTCTACATGCAGAGCAGTGCATGATGGGTCTCAACTCCATACTCAGACTGGGTTACAACTCTCTGGACAAGCAGAACCTGGGCCAGGCTGCGGAAGCGGCTGACCTTGTTGCCTCATCCAGGCAGGAGTTAAAATTCCTTTTAGGTTTCTCTAAGTAATTCAATATAGTCTCTTTCCTGGCATGAAGAGAGATTCACACGCGGATATTGGCTCAACGGGTAATATTTCAAGCTTAGAGGTGCTAATATTTACAATTTTCTCATCAAAAACCTTTCCAAGTCGTGTTTAGAGCTGTTTCTGTCTGAAGTTTCTCATGCACCAGAAGCATGCTTTGGTTGCAAATTGGTATTCCTAGTCTGACGCCTCACAGTGATTTAATATCATATTGAGGCAGACAGCTGTCAAATAGCCCCGGGGCAGCAGCGCTCTAATGCAGAACCCATCACGTGCCTGGACAGAATTTTACACTTAATCACTGACTACACTCCTTGGGGCTAGAATGCACAACCTTCCAGCAGGATGTGCTTCATAAAAACACCCAGGAAGAAGCTTCTGATTCAACTATCAGAAAGCCAAAATGTATGAGACAGTCAAGAGGCAAGCAGGCAGGGGCGGGGCGTAGGAAATAACCAATGGGAACATCAAGCAATCAATTACTAAGGCAGACAAGCAGAAGGAAACCTAAAATATGGTGCTTTCACTTGCATTACCTCCTTTTAGAGACTTGCCTAAAACAGTCTCTAACTCTTTTCACCATGGGAAGCCTGCAAAAGCTCACCTTTGCAAGCCAGCTGTGGCGGGTAGAGGTTCTGAGGCGGAATGACAGAAATGGGCTGAGTTCCAAAAGGACCAGGGCAGAAAAGACACCTGTGACTTCCACTGACTACACTACCCAACAAAAACAAAGGAGGTACAGGGTTCCCCAGGAGGAGGCTTTTCTTGGTCATCAGGGGCTTCTTTCCACTAGCCTGACAGTCAGTCTCCTCATTAGAGTGAGGAGCTGAAGGCATGCCTGGATCAGCAGCAGTGTTCTGACCCGCACAACTAGCCTAAAACTTTGAGACTAAAGCTAGAAGAAACCATCTGAGTGAAATACCACCTCTCTCAGTCACTTCACTGTTCAACACCCAGCCTTCCCCATGTACCTTCTACTTGACTATGTATATGCGTGTTTTTTTGTGTGTTGCTATGTGCACACAAGTGCAGTGCCCAAGGAGGGGTCAGATTCCCTGGAACTGGAGTTCAGGCAGCAGTGAGATGCCTGATATGGATGCTGGCATCCTCTGGTCCTCTGCAATAGCAGTTCTTATGCATAATGGGCTGAGCTATCTCCTAGGCACCTCTGTAATAAGGTTTATACTGCTCATTTACATTTTCATTTAAAGGTTCAGACATAACAAATTCTACCTCAGTCTGAGTATAAATTTTAATACTTCTTGAAATGAAACTTCAGGGTTTTAAACACACTCGACGCTATTTCACACCAGGAATGTTGCTGTCAGATGATCTTACACTCCAGTGTCCCATTCGGGAAGGAACTGTCAGTTTTCTCTTTAGCTTCCAGGTAAGAGGATTCAAAGTGAGTTAACATTTACAAATTCTTTTTTGGGGGGAGGGTGTTATCTCCATAAAAGCACTGCTCTCTCTCTCTCGTAATCTGGATCCCATGACTTGTAAATCAGACACAAGCAAGTCATGTAAGAAAGAGCACAAGCTACGATCAGATACAAGGCAAGAGCTAATCCCCACTAATGGGAAATGCAAATCATACCCTCAATGTAAACAGTTAAAGGCATGCAATGTTACAGAGGATGAGATAAAACAGGAATGATTTACATGAATTGGCATAATCTCTCTAGAAACACTTATTAATTGTATCCATATACAAAGTAAACTCCATCCCGTTTATAATTCTTTTTTCAAAAATGACTTAAAGCATTAAAATGATGATTAGAAAAATACATAGATCCCTTACCACATGTAATTCTTTCCATGGGTTATACTACTATAACAGAAGTGAAAATTTGGATTCACATTGATTTTAGCTATAACGGAGACTAGGATACTAGTGAAAGGGTGGGGGGAAGATGAGACACTGGGGATGAAAAGAGACTTGAGTGATGGTTAATGTCAACTGTCAATCTGATGAGCTCTAGAACCACTTGGGACAGGCCTCTTGATTAGGTAGACTGAGGTTGAAACAGCTGCCCACTGTAGGCGGCACCATTCCCTATGGTAAGAGCCTTTACTGCATTAAAAAGGAGAAAGTGAGAGGAGCACAAACAATCACCACTTTCTGCAGCTGCCATGACTTCCTTGACATGTTGGACTGTAGCCTGGAACTAAATGTCTTCCTAACAATGAGACAAATTACTACGTAAGACAAACGGATATGAGACTATTATGCTGCCATTAACGTATAGTCCTGAAAATGATCTTAATCTTTTTTTGTATATGAAAGCTTTTAATTAGCTATATATAAGCTTATTTTTCATTTTTTAAAAACTATGGAACGCTTCACAAATTTACGTGTCATCCTTGCTCAGGGGCCATGCTAATCTTCTCTGCATCATTCCAATTTTGGTATATGTGCTGTCAAAACAAGCACAAGCTTTTTTTTTTTTGATGAAATATTTTTATTTTTTAATTTAAATTAGAAACAAGGTTGCTTCACACGTCAATCCCAGGTCCCTCTTCCTTTCCCTCCTCTCCTTCCACGCCCTCCCACAAGAGTCCAGAGTGAGAGTGCATCTCTCACTGGGGGATGGGCACCCAAAGTCCATTTGTATACCCGGGATAAATACTAATCTACTACCCAAGGCTCAATAGATTACTTAGGTAGGCCTCCTCACTGACACCCACATTCAGGGGGTCTTGATCAGTCTCATGCTGGATTCCCAGACATCAGTCTGGGATTCAAGAGCTAACCCTTGTCAGGTCAGCTGTTTCTGGGGGGGTTAAACCAGCCCAGTCTTAACCCCTTTGCTCATCAGTTCTCCATCTCTGTCACCGGGTTCCTTGAGTTCAGCTCAGTGCTTAGCTGTGGGTGTCTGCCTCTGCTTCCATCAGTCATTCGCTGAAGGTTCTGTTTCCCAGACTTTCTGGCTGAAGCACAAGCTTTTTTTTTTTTTTTTTTTTTTGGTTTTTCGAGACAGGGTTTCTCTGTTTTGTTTTGGAGGCTGTCCTGGAACTCACTCGGTAGACCAGGCTGGCCTGGAACTCACAGAGATCTGCCTGCCTCTGCCTCCCGAGTGCTGGGATTAAAGGCGTGCGCCACCAATGCCCGGCGAGCTTTTAATATCTATATATAAACAGGTCTCAATGTGATGCTCTGATATATCAACATATTGTAGAAGGTTTATCACATTGTTAGCATATCCATCCCCCAGTATCAATTCTTTGAGACAAGAACACTCAGAACTCTCTCTTATCATAATTGCCTTTGTTGTGGGGGGGCAGTGGGGCTAGGACTGACTCCTGGGCCCTACTTGCTGAACAAATGTTAGGGCTGGGCTATATATATATATTTCAGCCTCATTTCCTTGACATATGCAACTTTACAGCCCTAGCCAGGCTACTGCATCAACAGAGAAGCCACCCCTCCCACTTAACTGTATTTTGTTTCAGTTGATGAATGACGACCTAAGAGAGCCAGCCTGGATCTACTTCATACTTGTGTGGGATCAGTTTGTTTAGATTCTACACACTAGTGAGATACTGCGGTGTTTGGTTCTCTGTATCTGGCTTATTTCATGTAAACACTGTCATATTTACCAGTCTCTGCAAAGATGAATTCCCATCAAACAAGGAGGCTTTTGTAAACAATATAAGCTCATTGTTAATATGTGTTGAAGGAATTGTAAGTTCTAAGACATTATTGTATCATGTAGACAGAGTATTATGTGGCTAGCTATGAAGGCATTATACATTTTGAACATTAACATATCATACTTTGCTGGAGCCAAAGAAAGCACTGCATGGTTGCAAAGCAATGTATGAAGCAAAAACCACACCATGTAAACATGGACCAACATATGTAATCCTACACACTACTTCAGAATTACACAAGTAGAGGCTAAATTTCCAATGATTATTGAGGACAAATGGGAACTTATAGTCTATATATTAAGTTTGAATAATTATTAAATGCTTTACAGTATCCCTCAATAAGAGGCTGGGTCCAGCATCACCTGCAGATACTACAAAATGCTTGTTGCCTTGAGGATGATGCCATATACATAGGCTTCAAACCATCACACCTAGTGCAAGGTAAATGTTGGGGAGTGGCTGCTACACTGTTGTTAAAGAACAACGGCAGGAGAAAAGTGTTTGTGTGCTCAGTGTAGCTTCTCCCTGGGAAATTTTTAACTGGGGTTGGTTGAGGCCACGGGTATAGAACTAAAGAGACATAGAAAGCCAAATAGCAGAATGTTGAGAGGGCTTAAAAGTGCCTAGTAACTTGAGTTCGATTCCTGGAACCCATGGAAGAAAGAGAACTGACTCCTGAAAGCTGTCCTCTGACTCCCACATACATGCTCACAGGGACACATGTGTGTAGACACCACACACACACACATACAAACACACACACACATACAGACTCCTGAAAGCTGTCCTCTGACCCCCATATGCTCACAGGGATATATATGTATAGACATCACACACACAAAGATAATAAAAGCAAGTAGCAAAATATAAAAAATAAAAGTTTCCATGCAGATAGTCACACTAACATTTCAGCAATAATATCCAACAAAACACATAAAATCAAAATATCTTGAAGAAATAAATTCTCCCCATGTTTACCAAAACCAATGTTTTATTGGACTAATTAGTCCATAGTAAGTTACATAAACCAAAACCTGTATGGATGAAAACTTGTATAATAAGTATCATAGTTAAATTTTAAAACCATCAAAATAAAAAATAGTTTAAAGAGATAAAATGGAAAACATTATAAAAAATATTGTCTAGAATTAAACCAGCAAAGCCTTAGCTTCAAAGTCAGGTAGGTCACCAGCTCCAAAGCATGAAACCCTGACCCTATGCTGGTGCTTCACTGAGCATATACTGCGTGGACCCTTGCTCTCTTCAAACAGCTGTCCTTGGACTCAAAGGCATCCTGACTCCACCCCTTCAAGAAACTCACCATCCCTGTGTTTGTGATACAGAGGGCAATCTTCAAAGCCAGAAGGCTGCATACTTCATGGTCCCTCTCCCTTAGACACTTAAAAGATGGGGTTGCTGTCACCTCCCCCCCAAATCTTTGTCTCAGTTGGTGCAGGCAGGAAAATGGTCCGTGACTCTATTTGCTAAGGTCCCTGAAATGAAGCTTTTCATGTGACACACAAGTCTCTGCTGCCTCTGACTCAGGAGGAAGGAAACAGGAGGCTTTGCCATCATTAGCTCCTTTCATTTGAAGCCCTGGTTCTCAGGACTGGGTGGAGGTGGAACTGGCCTCTTCTGTGACTTGTGTGGCCAAGTCAGACACACATGGCCTCTTGCCCTTGCCTCTGTGACTGCTCTTGCAGTGTCTCTCTTTCCTGCTGTACTAATTCACATCTTGGGAAACAATCTCCAAGTCACAGAAGAAGTTCAAATAACTGTGGTTCCTGATTCACCCAAGAGTAAGAAGTAAGACTTGCTAAGACTTGGAACACTCGGGCATTTCATGTGAACAGATTGTGTCACAACCACAAACCTGCCCCAACAGACACTCTGCTGTTGCTCTTTGACCCCAACAGAGTTGCACCAGCATCTTAACACATCTTTCAAGCAAAAGGACCCAGTCCCTATCTTGTACTTAGCTGTCATGTTTCTTCAGTCTCCATCAAAAAGAACTAACTCCCTGACTCCAATACTTGGAGAGATGAAGCTCTAGACGTCGAGAATGTGTGTCTACTTGGGGCTGTATAACGTTGGCTCATGATTAGACTCAGTTACAGATGCTAGACTACAGTGATGCTGTGGTGTTAATCAGTCCTAGCAGGTGGCACACAACTCACTTCATCGGTTTTGGATAATGCTCACCCCAGTTAGTGGCCAGGCTTCTCCTGGCCACGTAGTTCTTTTCTACTGTGTAGTAAGTATATAGTGGGGAGACACTTCCAATTCGTGGTCACTTCTAGCTCTTTGTTGGTGAGCAGTCAGCAGGTAATTTCATTCTTTCAGGTTTCCACCAACACTGAAGTGAACCAGACCCACTGCTCCTACAGAGCACACAGGGTTAGGTGGCCATGAGCCCCTCCTGCCAGATCAGTAAGTAAGTGCCTGTCCTCTGCGGGTCTGTTTAAACACACCTTATTTAATATATATATACTTGATGGATTCACAATGAACTCACGGCCAACAGTTCTCTCTTGGGCCTTCTCAATAAAGGTTCCCCAGCACAGGCTATTCCTCTGTAAGTCACTTCACAGCCCTCCAGCACTTAGGAGCAATAGACAGCACTTGAGCGCTGTGTTTGGAGGTCATTTTAAACAGCCAATTCATAACTAGCTCACAAAAATCTGAGAAATGTAGCATTAAGCAGAGTGCAAACAGCACTCTCGTTTACAGTGTGAGGGCTGGGAAAGGCAGAGAGGCACTGTTCTGTCCTCGGCTAAGTGTGTACATGAGCAACCCAAAATGTTCACTGTTCTCAGAATGACTTACGGCAAATATGTTACAGGGATAGAGTCTGAGTCACACAATTTTCTAGTGGGGAAATTTGCAAATATAGAATCTACGTGTAATGAAGACTGCTGATATTATGTTTCTGAGGCGTACAAATTACTGACCTAAGAAAGAAGGACTCCTACTTTATCCATTTGGTTATAACTTATTAACACATGCACACGATCTACAAGTCTATAATGTGTGTGCATGTACATGGAGGCCAGAGACCAACCTCTGGTGTGGTTCCTCAGGGGCTGCCCACATTCTTTTTGGGACAGACTTGCAGTGGTCTAGAATTCACCAAGTAAGCTAGGCTGGCTGGCCCGAGCCCCCAGGGCCTACCCGTGTCTCTCCCCAGTGCTGGGATTGCAAGCATGTGTGACCTCACTGGCTGGGCTTTCTTTACCTGGGTGCTGGGGATCACAGTCAGGTCCTCATGCTTGCACGGCAAGTACTTTACTGACTGACCCATCTCCCCAGCCCCCCAAATATTCATTTTGATGTTCAAATTGTCCTAGATTTTGCCCAGGGGACCCCTTCAAGTTGTTCTTACTTTCCTGGCTCATAGATAAAGGGATGCTGAATAAATATAAGTATTGGCAATGAGGCCTAGGCACACTGTTCTATTTTACACACACAGCATTCCCGATATTCTCTTGCTATCAAAGCAGACCGCTCCTTTAAAGAATATCCGTTATACGGGACTGAAAGGTAACACACACCTTTGCACTCGGTACACACGAGTCCATGGGGGCACGAGGGCTAGGATCCGAGCCACCAGCTCGACCAGGTCACTGGGAGAATAGCTCCTGTATCTTCCTGATTTCCACAGCTCATACAGCCCAGTTCCACGGATCACCAGGGTAGGATACAGCTTCAAACCATCAGGACGAAAAGCAGGGTTCTCAAAAAATTCCTATGGATGGAGAACCAAAAATTACCCCTCCATTAGTTCTGCGCCCACAGGGAAGGCTCATGCTCATGTCAGCTCCCCCCACTTGCAGCAAGCCTGGAGCTGCCTGCGCTTCGTCAAGAAGTGAACATGGGGACGGCAAGACGTCACTGTTCACTAACCCCAGACCGTGCTGCCCTACGCAGACTGTGGCTGCCACCAGTCTCACAATGAGTGATACTCTTTGGAAAGGCTACCCTACTTCCTTCCAGACCACAACATCATTAATACTAGATATGACTGTTTTAACTTTTGAAAAATTGTAGAAAAAGCATTTAAGTCTTACTAAAACCTACAATGTCAATAAAGGGAGAACAAACAAACAAATCTACAATGTCTACAACAGGGCCAGGGCCCTTTACAGAGAAGGCCAGCTGATCCCTGGATGTCACACTTTTGTCCTCAGGCCAGCTGGCGCCACTTCTATCTAACGTGTGCTACACAGTCCACTTGTTATCTGGACACTGAGCAGCTCACCTGGCTCTTCTACTTTTGGCACAGACCTCTTCCATCTTACAGCCCCACCAGCTGCTCCTTTATCTGGGAGGCAGCTGGGAGACACCAGGCTTTGTCCTTTCCAGGACTTTGAATGGAACTGACTCTAATCTCGACTGTACATCACTGTACTGGACAGAGGTGGGTTCAGAGTCCCCTCCTTCCCACTCCTGCACCCCTAACAGCATCTATCCAGTCAGCAGTGCTCTAGCTCTGGAAATTTCAAAGTGTGCTTTAAAATCTCTGGTTACACTGTCCTCTCAAACTTCCCATTGTTTAGCTTGCTTTTCAAGCAAATGTTACTATAGGTTTTAGATTTCACTGACTGTCACCTCTTGAATGTTGTATTCTTGTTGCGCCACGGTCTTGGAGACATTTATTCATAACTGTGTGATTTCTTTTGTAACAATCATATTTTACAGATTCACCAAGTCTTTAATAAATTCTCTGCCTAACCTGAATCTACACTGAGCATAACGTCGGAAGAGTTCTCATTCCAGGAGATACATGGGCTGCTATGTTCCTTTTGTAAGGACGGAGCTAGACAACTGATCCTGGACCCATGATTAAACAGGGAGAGTTAAAACATGAGTTTCTCGCTTTCTCCTCTAAAATCATAGGGCAAGATGAAACATTTTCAAGGAAGTATAAACTTAGAAGAACAAAGAACAAGAAAGGGGGGCGGGGTATGGACTGGCACCACGATTTGAAAACAGAGAACAGATCAAGCCTGGCACATAATTGTGAAAAGGAAAAAACTCCACGTTAAGAGACTGATGAAGGCCAGTTCATCACATCATAGTCTTATAAAGCTCACATACCAAATGCTCAGGAGACACGCAGAGTAGAACAGACATGGAGTAAAAACAGACACTGGATCCCTGGCTGCACACAGAGGCACTTGTCTCTACTCCCTATGCTGGCTGAGAAGGTTTTCTTTTTTTTTCCCTCTGGGGACATAGGACTATAGGATTCAGGCCACAAAGAATGAGGACAGAAAAGCCAGTATCCTAACTGACAGGCCCTGTGCCTTACCTATCCACCTGCCACCACGTGGAAACGTCGCCTCCTGTGACATTTAAAAAAAAAAACTACATCAAGAAAAAGCTACTTCATCTACATGTAATATGAGCATGCCTATGTTACATGTGCATAAACAACCTCAGTTCCCCAAAGCCTAAAAAAACTATTTTTTAATTATGTTTGTCTACATGTTTGGCTGTATACCATATGCGTGCCTAGTGTCCAGGGAGGCCAGAAGGTGTTGGGTCCCTGGAACTGGAGTTACAGACAGATAAAAGCCACCATGTGGGTGCTGGGATTAGAACCCAGGTCTTCTAGAAAAGTTAACCATTGAGCCATCTCTTCAGCCCCAAGCCTAGGCATTTTAAAGTCTGAAAAGAATATCAAAATACAGTTTGTCTGACAATGGGGAGGTGGGTAACCATTCTTCATTGTGTTTCTAATATTTTGGAACAGGTTTTATAGCTTTAAGAATGGAAAACACACACACAAAAACAAACAAGCAAGAGCAGAGAGGTGCAGAAAGCATGCAGAGGAAATCTGGGTCCACGGACTCAAGGCCATACTTACTATAAACTGCTCAATGTCTCTTTCTAGTCCCACGTTCGGCAGGTCAGGCATCATATGAGCCACCACTTTAAAACCACAGTCTTTGGCCAGGTGGAATGATTCACATGTCGCCTTCACAGTGTGGCCCCTGGGAAGAAAACGGACAATTAAGTTAGTGGGGGTGGAGGTGAGGCAAGGGGAGGGGGGTGAAGGAGGAGGAAAACAATCCACGAGACAAGTCACTTGGCTGGGAACAGAACTCCAGAAGTCACTTTTACATGGCACTAGGAGGCCTGGAGGAAAACCACTGTGCTTCTAAGACACTGCTCTGAAATCTCTTATACACCGTGTACCCAGATGACACGGCTCAACACCATCTGTGAAATCAGCTTATTACTCTAGAATCAGCATTAAACAAGGTCCACACAGAAGCCAGGCATGGCTGACACTCACTCAGAGTCCTAGCACTTGGGAGGTGGAGGCAGGAGGATTCAAGATCGCCCTTGGCTCCATTCCCGGTTTGGGGACATACTGGGCAACAAAAAAAAAAAAACAAAAACAAAAAACAAAAAAAACAAAAACAAACTATGAAGGAGCTTTGACTTGTAGCATTTCATTTAGTATTATGAAATATTGGTAGAGGAAGGGAAGAAACTACAATATGAAGCAGACTTCAACAGTGTGGTCAAAGGGTCCATCAGAGAAAGGTTTTGCTGTCACAGGGTCAGATCAATTCTCTTAGCATTCCTTCTCCTGCCACATCCAAGCAGGAAGTAGACCTTGATCACAGTTGGGGTAACTAACAATTGAAACCTTGTGACAATTCCTTCTACCACCAAGATGCTCCCACTTAGCAGATAAAGATCTCAGAAGTCATGGGGTCTATCAGACTCCCTTTGGATACCCCACTTATTCCTATGGTCCCACTCTCATTTCTAGTTAGTTCTGAATTCTGCACTCCATTGTTCTACTTCAAAGTTACTATACAATGTGGCCACAACTATGTGTATGTGGCTTTAAAAATCAAATTACAAGGAAATATGTATTTCCTCAGCTGGACTGTGTTACAGGTATGGAAAGTGGTGACCCAGTGGAACATTCTACTGGCTATCTCTGCTCTAAGACACACTTTTAGCCCAAAGTGAAACCTTTCCCCTCCAAGGCTCCTGGACCTCCTTTCCTCCCAGCTGTCACCAAACAACACTCACTGCTTTCCAGAACTCCAGGGTTTCCTGCTTAAATTACTCCAACAGTGGAGGCCCAGGCCGTGTCCCTTCAGCCCCCCTTTGAACCATCACCCACATTGGAACAAAAGGTCTCTTACTTCAGTGCAGGCATGCTCCTATCTTAGCTCCCAGCTTGCCTCCTGACTAAAGCTCAGGCTCTTGGGGCTGACTTCCCGGACCCTCATAACACAGTCCTCTGCCACTATGTGCTCCTAACCTCACACAGCTGTCCTCCGGTGGACGCAAGCAACTCTGAGTCTCCTCTGAGCCTCAGCGTAGGTGCCATTTCTTCAGGAAGCTTCCCTGACCCTCTCCACAGGGACTCCCTAGCACAGCTTGTAATACTACAGTTTCCAAGCAGTTTTCCTGTGTGAGGCTTTCCCTACACCAGTTTGCTTTGCTCAGACTCCCCTTTTATAGATACAATGCCCAGTAGATTTTCCCCTGTCTGAAAATATTAACAGATCTCTGTTACTTAAAGGACAAAGTACTAGCCTGCCGTCCTCTAGGCTGCTTCTCAGTATGGACCAGTGTTTTCTTAGCTCCCCTTTACAACCCTGGTCAGTGGTGGTGCTGAAACCCTGATTTCTCTGCTCTTCTACCCAGGGGGCAGTTATTCACACGGTTTCTGATACACTTCTAGATGGAAGAGAGCATCAGACGCCTACACTGAACATGAAGGCACCAGCAGATGGTCTGAAGAGCATGGCTGGAAGAAGAGGTTAAAAAGCCGACACCTCACACTTTTCTCTAAGACTGGGCTCAAGGAAGAAACCTGAGCCCAGAGACAGACACGTCAGGGGTCAGAGCCACCCATCTCACCTGTTGGTGTCTCTGGCCACATCTTCATAGACACTCTGCACCCCGATCTCCAGCCTCGTGCATCCGTACGTCAACATGTCGCTTAGGTGCCGCTTCATGCAATAATCAGGTCTGGTCTCAATTGTAATTCCAACACACTTTGTGAGGCTTCTCTCAGAATACCTGCAGAGCAGAACTAAAGTGACTACACCTGCCACAGTCTGGAGTCATTTCTTCCCAGCCCACCTTCTCTTAGTCTTCCCAGGATGAAAAAGTAGCTAAGTGCGGGGGCTCTGGAGTCAGACAGGGTAAGTTCAAATTCCAGCTCTGCTACTTCCTCACCAGGCAAACAGTAATTCTATTAACCTTCTCTGGCCTTGGCATCTTCATCTGCAAAACGATGGCAACAATGGTGCCCACACTTCACAGAGCTGACACACTGCACTGGCACATCTTCATGCCATTACCATTATCATTATTATTCATGCGCAGTTAGCTGCAGCCATAATCATCGTGAAAACAGTGATTTCAACTGTGAAAAGCTATTTCTCAATTCCTAACAACCGATTTCACGTAAGTAAAATCCATCTGCATTACTTATTTCTCACTGCATCATAGAGCCATTGTAAATACAAGAAACAAAGGGGAGCGGGGAGCAGCACAGGCAGGCTGCAGGGATCACTCGGGTGAAACGTCTTCTGTGTACCCAGAAGCCTAGCTTCCAGAAATGCACAAAATTAGGGAGCATTTTTTTTTGTCTCAACAAGTCTAGATACAAGATAGTGAAGACCACCTTGGATTTAAGTTAAATGAGACAATGGCCTTACAGCCGGCCCAAGGTTATACTGTCTGTTAGAGGGCTGGTCGAGGCCGGGTGGCATCACTGAGTTAGTGATGACGGTCACTGGGGTCAACACTGGCCACCTGACAATCAACTGAGAGGTGTTCTATCATTCCATATACCACACGAAGACACTGAAGCTCAAATGGAATAGACATCTTATTCAAGATACAAGGTGGATAGAATCCAAGTTAGGAGCTGAAGGTAGGTCTGTCTGTCTGAGACTGGGATGGTAGCCTCTGTCTGTCTCGGCATCTCTAACCTAACTATTCTTCAATCCTTTCCACACTGTTCTCACCAGGTGGGTGGGAAGACCAGGGGAAACCTTTTGCAAGTATTTATTTCTCTTCTCTCTAAAGAGGTTTTGAAAAGCAGACATCATAATGATTTAAAACTTAGTTCCGTTTCTTCATATGTGTCAATTAAAATGATAAGAATTACTCAGCACACGAAGCATCACTGAGCTGCAGGACTGCTGCACAGTGTCATCTAACACACTGGAAGTCTTTTGTGAGACGTGACATCGGTGGAAACATGGAGGAAGGAGAAAATGTAAGAAATGAATTATGGAGGGTTCTTAGCTGGTCAAGTGCTGTTTAAGACAGGGCAGTAACTCCTCCATCCTCTCTCAAACTTCTCACAAAGTCTTGTGCCTGCCAAACAGTGGGCATCAGGGCATGGAGGACAGGAAGTACATAATGGCACATGATAAACACAACTCATCTGCTTCCAACAGCGATTACGGACTTTAGGAAATTATCTAAAATTAAAAGAAGAAAAAAGGAAAGAAAGAAACCACTGTGGCGAAAGCCAGCCATATGGATGGATGAAGGACAGAAGGTAGAAAGCTCTGAGCACATTTCAAAAAGTAACTGAGGACACCCTAAAATCCAGACTCTAACATGTGCCACACACCTCCTATTAATTGGTATTTCTCAAAAGCAATGGCCCCAGGCGAGAGAGCCTGGACATGGTGACAGCTCCATCACTGGGAAAAACTAGAGAGTTGGCAGCAACAGCAGCAGCAGGGACCTGCCCAGAGGGAAGGGAAAACCTATGAATTAATCTGTCTGTTACAGAGCACACGCCTTTAATCCTAGCCCTTGGGAGGCAGAGGATCTCTATGAGTTCAAGACCAGCCTGGCCTATAAGAGCTAGTTCCAGGACAGGCTCCCAAGCTATACAGGGAAACCCTGTCTTGAAAATTAAACAAACAAACAAACAAAAAAACTCATCAACAAAAAAACAAACTTAACTCCATCTCAAAAATGCCTTTCCTCTGGAGAAATGTGGAGAAAGAGAAAATAACTCACACTTACACTTTAAAAAGTCAATGGTAGTACACACCTTTAATCCCAGCAGAGGCAAGGCAGAGGCAGAGGCAGGTGGATCTTTGAATTTGAGGCCAGCCTGGTCTACAGAGTGAGTTCCAGGTTAGACCGAGCTACAGAGAAACCCTGTCTCAAAAAAAAAAAAAATCAAACAAAAGGGACAGTGTTTTAGATTTCCTTTCAGAGCTGTATTTTCATCTGAAAAGCAATGAAGTGGAAATTCTAATCAGATGTGAACAATAAAAACAACAGTGTCGTATCTTTTGTGATCTGCAGTGACTTTGCTGTTGCTGTGTGTAATCCGCTACCTTAGTAAATGTGCTACCTCATTTAAGAGATGTAAGAATGTCTATGGAACTATTCTTTCTCATATGCTAGTATGTGTAGACAAGATGTTACTTAGTCTGAGCAGTTCAGGGTCTGCTCCGTACCCACCCACCATTAGCCAGCCATTTAGCAAGTGAGCCTCTCTTTCAGGACTGCAGTCAACACCTTACAGACGTCCTAGGCTTCAGGGCAGAGAGGAGCGTTTTACCTTCTAAGAGACAGAGCCAGGACTTGGATTCAGTTTTCCTGCCAGGTCTACTGCTTCTTAATACAACTACAGGTTGTCTTAGGAAGGCTGCAGGACTGCACTGAACTCTTAAGTTTCCTGCAGGTTACAGCTATGTAAGAAGCTCACACCCTCTAACAAACACAAGTCAATAATGTACGGTATCAGAACTGTTCACAGTGGGCAGGCAGCAAGGAGGTGAGGAGATCCTTACCTTAGAAATTAAAAGCAGACAAAACCCACGCCATCTAGTCCTCAACTTGGCTCAAAGATATTTCTCTTCCCGTGACATCTCAGAACCCTTGGTAAGAGCTCCATGTTCACCCATACTACAAAGTTAGTCTGTTATTTATGGGCATGTCTGCTTCTCTTTTTAGACAGGGAGCTGCTAGGACTAATAGGTTAGGAGTTCTGTACTAACTCCTCCAATCAAAACAAAGAAATGAACATGAAGAATCAGTAAGTGAAACCTGGTGTGGTTGGGACAAAGGGGGACTCTCTCCCTTCCCACAGTCTCTAGATGACCTTGCTGGCTATCATCCCTCTTGCAAACAGCAGAGATGCCTTGCATTAGGTCAGAGATTCTGTACAAACTAAAAATCCAGTTTTTATTCCAGAGCCGCTTTACAGTCAAGCTAAACAGAGAAGTAGATGAGGGCACAGAGAACTCTCTCCATCATCTAGAGGCCCCAAATGAGTCGTTCTTTGGGCTGATGAAGACTTGCTCGGACTACTGACACAGAATGTCTCAGAACCACAAGCACAGAACAAAGGTTCTTTTATAAACTATTACCATACCTGGAAACTCCCTCAATAAAATCTGATACTTCTCACAGTTAGTGAAGCTCTAGACTTAAGCCAGTGGGCTTAGAGGATTCACCCACTCCTTTATGAGATCATAGTCCAATTTCTTTCTAGAGACTGGTTATGTTAATAGGATCTAAAAACCAATAGTCTCTGCCCAATATAATTGAAAAAGTCAAAGAGAACCCATGATTTTTAAGTGAGTACTACCAAGAAAAGCTGAGCGGGTGACACTGAAGAGTAGAGAAAACCAGGTACCCTATCACACTAGTCAACAAGGCTGATGATACACTACAGCATCCCTTGACATTTTTGCTTCTGACTCTTCCCACAGCTTAATGTTTTATAGTCATGATCAGATGGCTGAGGGACCAACAGAAAAACTCACAGGTATGGCACGCTCGTATCATGCACACACTGGAACTCAGGGTTACATGCACAGGAGTGTCCCCACAGAAGGTGATGGCTAAGTGAAACACAAAGTGGGAACACACCTTTGAGACAAACATCCGAGAAGATCCCACTGCTTCATTTTTATGACACTAGGGAAACTAAAGCAGGTGACAATGCAAAGTGAGCAGAGAAGTCTACCAGGCACCGAGGAAGGTCCTCCTTACTTGCAGCTACCTGGGCAGCTGAGGCAGAAGCTGGCCAGGAGCCCAGAGTCCCGGATCAACCTAGTATGGAAATTTAATGAAGGTGTTTCCACTTTCCCCTCTTCACACCCACCAAGTGCCTCTACCCTTCAGACACATGGGTCCTTACTTCTTCCTCTTAAGATGGTCTCTAGCAAGGGATGCAGAGAAAACCAACCATACAGAATTATACAAGAATGAAATCATCATCCTCTGATAGTGGAAACTAAAGTCTGGGGGTGATTAAATCAGTAGACATAAATCCAATCAATATAAACTAATTACGGCTAATTACACCAAATGTTAATACTACCAAACACTGCAATTAAATGGCATACATTATCAAAATGGGCAACTCTGCCCACTCCCCCCGCTCCCAACACGACTTAAGTACGCTAGGTTTCTGTCTGGAGGAAACCCAGTTGCTCTATAAAGGCACGTAAAGGTGGGAAGTAAGCGAATGGAAAGATATCCAGGGCTGACAGGAAGCACAAGGCTGTATGGTAGAGCTAACAAGAAATAAGGAGTCTAATGGAGGATATCAGGTCACTGAGGGCTGCCCTTGAAGGGCTGTATAACTTTGCTTTCTCCACCACGAGGTGGCAGGTTTGCCCTCCCACATTCTTCCTATCACGTGCTAAAACTGTAGTCTGGAACCTCTAAAACCAAGGGGAAAGACAACAGACCTTTCCTGCCTAAGCTGATATGCTGGTGTTGCAGCGCTGCATAGCTCACTAACATACCATCAGAGCAATGCTAACACACTAGGCTGATTTGTACACAGCAGGATTTACTTCCTTTCCAGCACACATGCCATGATTCACTAAAAGGGAGCATACACCCCGGTCCATAAAACAAGTCTCCTCATATTGAAAAAGAACAATAAAAAACAAATCTGAAATTGAACTGAAAAGGCACTCTAAACAAAATGAAAATCAGAAATCAGTAAGGTTTCAAACAAAACCTCACTCTTCTAATATATAGAAATTGAACAATTTCCATATAATCCCTGGAACGGA